ACCTCTTTATAGATCATTCTAGTCTCGATTTTAGTGCAGTTTGAGAACCTTGATTACACACAAACAACAAAAAATATACTTTTCTTGCAAAGGTAACAATAAAAACATACATCTTGTAAGTGTATGACAATCAAAAACCAAAATTTTCTCCCGCGCGATCTGACGTTCTTTCTGAATCACAGTATAAATTTGCTATATCGCAGTATAATTTGACTCAGGCCCACGCGCTTTATAGAACTCTAAAGTGTAAACCATATCGGTGCTCTGAATCGCAGTATATAATGTATTATCAAATTGCTCTTAACGTGAAGCCATAGTATACTGCGAATCAGACCAGAGCTGCTCTGAATAATAGTACAGAATGCCAATACGCGGCCGGGAGGAATGTTATTTCAAACGGCAGACATAGCTGTAGGTCGGGTGTTCGAACCTGGACCGAGGTAAGATTTTTTTCATCTGTGACAGAGATGTGAATTTCCTTAGATCAGTTTCGAGCGTTCTGCCGGCTACTCCGAATTCAGTTTGCCTAATTCGTAAGGTAAATACCGCAGTCGTATAGAACAACTTAAGACCTCCTGCAGGGGCACCTCTGAAAAACCCAGAACAAGAGAGGGAAAATAAATAAATATATAAATAAAAGTAGTGGTGAATCGCCCCTTATAGTGCCCACCAGGGACGCATCTCCACAACAGTTAACTAATCCTGGGAGAGACGCCACAACTTGTAACATAAGCAAATACTCGCTGGTATAATTGTAGTCACGGATCTGTGTCTCTACCTCATTGATTTGTGAATCAATTTCAGAGAACTTTTCTATAGATTTTTCGCACTTGATATATGTTGCAGTATTCCAGTCTGAAATTGGTTCCCAAATCAATGACGCAGGGGCACAGATCTGTGGCTACAATTATATTGCATATTCTTGAGAGAACGGGATGGGAATCATGGAAGCTGAGCACGGTGACTTGTTTACGTTGGTCATTTGCCGGGTTTGCGAGGTGAGGCGGCGCAGCCGCCGAAACCGAGTGAATGTCCCATCCAAGAAAATGTTTGTGGTAGCACTCTTCCGACTGGTTTTTATGAAATCCTCTTGTATATTTGGTAGGTATGAGAGTAGGTCGTATAGTATATTTCAGAGTCAGACCATTTGGTGATTATATAGTTCGCCGGGTGTACGAGCATATGTCCAAAAAAACAAGATTTCCCAAAAGGCGGTATGAAGATCGCGAGGTTGGTAGAAAAAAAAGCCCGGAAGCCGACCTCTCTCATTACGTACCTCTTTAAATTGTACATCTTGAGAACCGAAGGTCGCATTGGGTTCAGTACATAATTCAAAATATCGTTTTATTGTTATTGTTGTTAATCCGAACAATTCACTAATCTGAACAATCTTTTATCCCAATTAGTTCGGAGTAGCGAGGTTCTAATGTATTCCTGGTATTTTATTTTAGTCTATCAAAAATGCCTGTCTAGCCAGGGACCCGGACCCAAATGAAATATCGGTTCCGGTTTTGTTTATATTTAAGCATTGAATATTTATTATTCAATGATTTAAGCGAAAATATTTATAACGGTTCCGGTCCGGTTTCGGTTCTAAAAAGAAATAACGGTTCGGTTCTGCGCATTTTTTTCGGTCTATAATGGTTATTTTCGGTTCTAGTTTTTCGGAAAGTAATAAAGTATGGCATTAAACAAGTTCATGATAACAACGTGATTTGTTAATTAAAAGGTTGAAGAAAATGTCATGAATACCAAAACGTGACGTATCATCAGTGTAGCTAATTTATAACGACAATGGGAATAAAGGAGGAAGAGGTAAATATGTATTTACACTTAATTTATTACTAAAAAACAGAAAATTTTATTTTCTAAAACCTCGCCCCTCCTTTTTTATTTTTTTAAGTAGTGGCTAACCGCCACCCGTAATGCCTTCAATTTCGACACCTTATTAAAAATTTAGAATCCACAGATGGCAATCATAGAGTAATATTTTATCAATTTTCAGGACGTGGTTGCCGGTGCGTCTTTCAGCTTCCAATAACCTGTTAAGAACCGTAAAAAACCGAAAAGACCCGAAAAAAGTAATTTGGGTTCCGGTTCTCAATACGTTTCCATTTCTGAAGGAATAATGGTTTCGGTTCGGTTTTCGGTCCAGAAGAAAATACTGGTTTCTGTCCGGTTTTCAGTTTTTTTTCGGTCCGGTCCGGGTCCCTGTTGTCTACTTGGGTATATATAGGCTATAATCATGCATTTAGGTGCCAAAAATTGGAATGTCAATCATTTGAAAACTGTACCAACAATTTAGGAATGACCAGATTTTAAAATAACATAGAGGGTTGTCCAGAAAGTAACAGACGTTTGAAATAAAAAATTGTAAAGAAATTCTTTTATTATATATATTATATTGGGAGCAACACTCTTGGGGATATTTATCAACACAGGCGCCATTCAAATTGAGGCACTTATCATAGCGTGGCACAAGTGTTTTGATTTAAACTTTGTATAAATCTGCCGCCTGAGATTTTAACCTGCACTAGGTATCGCAGACATGAAGTTCGGCGTCCCTATCGATGGGTTACGAGCTAGGTTTTCATCGCTAGGAAGAGGTAGAAGTTTTGTTTTTCGACTACAACACCCGCCCGCACACAGTCAATCTTACTGGACACCTCTTGGATGATTTTGGATGGGAGAAACGATCACCCTCCATACAGCTCGGATCTAGCGCCAAACGACTTCCACCTCGCAACACAGCATTTGGCCGAACTTCAAGCCGGCGTTAACCAGTGGTCAAAGTCTCAGGAGCCGGATTTATACAAAGTTAGAATCAAATCACTTGTGCCACGCTATAAGAAGCGTCTCAATATGACTGGCGACTATGTTGAAAAATAGCCTAAGAATTTAGCTTCAAAGCGTATATAATAAAAGTTGTTTGTTACACTTTCTTAAATTTTCTATTTCATAACGTCTGTTACTTTCTGGATAGCTCTCGTCTACAGGTTGATTCAAATTCCATGGGGATCTCAAAAACTGTAAGAGATAGGTAGGTAGTTTAAATTTGATAAAGTTGCGTATTTTGATGCTTAACAAAATTCCGACTACTTTCTGAGATATCCTGAAAAAAGCGAAATTTTGCAAAATCGTTTTTATTGTTTACCGAAGTTATTTAAAAAGATATTATTATATAGCCACTTTTTTAACGCTACAAGATGCTAGTTTTAAATTTTAAGCCCGACGTTTCGTCTCCGTTTAACCATCATCAACTTTGTTTCTTCTTATGGAAGTCATTTTTACTTTTTGTGTCATTTGATAAAGCATTTTTTTCTGATTTCAAAATAATAATAAATAAATCTATAATAAATAAATAATATAGGTAATAACAAATAAAATAAAAAATAAAAAAAGTACACTACCTAAGACAAAGTTTGCCAGGCAAAAAGGAAGATATTTTAACAAAATTTAAAAATCGTGATGTTTACATTTTTAAAATCAGCAAAAAAAGGCTCTATCAAGTGACACAAGAAGTAAAAATAACTTCCATAAGAAAAAACGAAGTTGATAATGGTTAACCGTAGACGAAATGTCAGACTTAGCCCGGTTTCACGAACGATGATTAAGGTTAATCAATGATTAAAAATATTAGAATGTTAGCCACCTTTGATTATACGCTCATTTTTTTCCCATTCTAATATTTTTAATCAGTGATTAACCTTAATCATCTTTTGTGAGACCGGGCATTAAAATTTAAAACTAGCATTTTGTAGAGGGAAAAAAGTGCCTATAATAATGTATCATTTATTTTGAAATATCTTTTTAAAACTTCACTAAAAAATAAATATTTCCGAAAAGTAGTCGGAATTTTTTCAGTTTCAAAACAGCATTTTATTACTTTAAACTACCAACCTATCTCTTACAATTTCCGAGATCCCCATGTAGCCCTCGAATTTGAATCAGCCTGTATCACAGATTTAAGCATATTTAAATCTGTGCCTGTATGTAGGGATTTAATATAATTAATGGGGTCGATTTTGCTGACATTAATAACATTAATTCCACATATAATGGCATCGATGCCTTTAAAGTGGCAACTATTAGGTCTCTCTAGTTCATAACGTACATTACATAAAATGTACATGAAATTTCGACGTATGAAACATAGGAAACTCAAGGGTAACTGATTTTGTGTGCATATACGGGACAGCTTAATCATCATCAGTTGACCCTATTTCATATCACTACATGTTACTTTACGTTTTTATTGCACCTGCAGTAAAAATGCTATATAAAAAGCCTTTTTAGCACATTATTTTCATAATCACGCACGTAAGCGGCTTTGGAATTGTTGTGTTAGCAATTAACAAAAATTAAAAATTGGGTTGCAATTTAATAAGAACGAAATTGGCAAATTTTTGTATTTCATGCATTCCCGGTATATTGAAGTAGTAAACTGCGAAGCAAAGAACATCACCATTTCTATTCGTGCAATAGCAAACGGAAATAGAAATTCAGAAGTGTGCAGATAGCTTCAACCAACATTCGCGACGCTCGGAATAGATGGCGCACTAATCCTCATAATGAAATTACGTTTTCAAAAGCGTATAAATCGAGTAATTTAGGGCAATGTGATGTAAGGTAAATAGTAACGTGCAAGTAAGAATTGCATGTCAAAGGGTATTTACCAACGGATGGCAGGGTGTGCCAGGTCACTTAACTACACCCACGCTTGTTGCAAAATAGCAACAGGGGAATGAATTATAGCAACAATTTCACGATCTGTAGGCACTTACAATCATATTGTGGTTATTAACTATTACAACTGAGGTCGGCTATTTGAGTTCGGCTTCCATCTATCGCAAATAGTTTAATTGGACAGGAAGGAAATGGCGCACGTAAAAATTTTAATTGCGCTTGGTTTACGCGTCGTAAATTCTGAAGAAACGCCTAATTTAATTAAAGTTTGTCCATAAATATGAAAGGTGCGATCTGAAAGTCATTTTGAGGTTCACTTTTTTGCAAAGTTTAATCTCCCGTCGCGTCCTCTTCGACATAGATACCTACGCGTTGTTTAATCTGCAAAAGTAAGTTAAGTAGATAAAAGTAGGTAATTAAAAGAAACCGCTTGTCGATGTGTGGCATGTGTACCTATTTTTTATGAAGTAACGCGTCTGTTACAGCAATAGTAAAAATGTTAATTGGTGACATTGTGAATCCGTCGAGAAATTATGAAAGAAAGAGAAATCCCGTCTGCGATTCTATTCATATGTGGGGGATCTTGTGCTGTCGGTGTTTACTTTTCGTAGTACTTTATAGGAACTAATTGCTGATGTTGCTGAAGATCACTTGTTATAGAGAATCGAGGACGATCTCAGAAACGAGCATCCCGGACTTTCTCAAGCGCATCATAGAAACCCTTATCCGTACTTGATGTCATTGAAAGGATTGAAGAATCTTCCTCGAATTGTACTGGATAATCGGACGCAATAAAGAAAAGTTAAGTTAGAGGAATGTACAAAGTTCATCTTTGCTTATTTCAGGTGTTTTGAGGAGTAGCTTTGCATTAGGTCCCGTCAAATAGGACAATTTTGAGACAATAATTGAATTACTCACAGCCAAAAGAAACGTGATTTTTTAAAAACAAGTTTGCTTTCCGATAGGCAGAATATGCACATATGATATCTGAAGAAGTTTGGTTCAAAAAATTATCTTCCCTCAGATTTTTAAGTAGCTACTTCTTAACGTTAGGTATGTACTGTATGTTTTGGACGGGAGTAAAATCATCTCAATTTTTAACGCCACAGAATATAGATATATATAATAACTTTAAAATACTAGCGTTTATTTTCAATACTTTATAACCCGGAAACGATTGAATTTAGGTACATTATGCTTCCTACAAATTTTGCTTACAATGAAGGGAAGAATCTAAATATCGAATAATGGACAGGGTGTTGCAAAATTATTACTGCCTAATAGACATTACAAGCCTTAATACTATTGTATTTACCTTTTTTCGATACCTTATAATAATAATAATAATAATAATAATAATAATATATATTGACTGCATACTTGTAACAAAAAAATATACATTTGCAGAAGTCACACAATATTGTTGAAATCTAAATCTTCTAAATTTTCAAATTCTGCTACGCTATAAAAGGCATGTTTAATTAATACACATTTAAGAATTTTCCTAAGACTTAGGATTGATAATTTTCTTATACTTACAGGTAATTTATTAAAAAGTATGACAGAAGTGTTGTATATTGTCCCCGGTAATCGACCGTTTACAGACTTATCAGCGACCCTGTATAATACTGATGTTCATAAATCAAACAATCATTATTTTTCTTGTGAGAATTACGTACGTGTAGGTACATAAAAACAAAAATTTGCTGATATACAAGAAGTCAGGTTAAAAAAAACTGATTCAAGAAATTTAAAAAAAGCCAAAGAGAAATTTTGGAAATTTACCAAAGCCGACCAAGTGAATTTCTGAAGAATTTAAAGAACTGGAAGAATTGTAAGAAACGGAAGAATCTGATTAACTTGAAATGACTGATCCAAAAAGGCGGTAACAAATCTAAGGAATTTCAACAAACCAAAAAATTAAGAGAACGAAGTGACGAATGGAAAAGATTCAAAGAAATGGAAAGTGTTGAAGAATTCGAATGATGAATTTGAATACACTGATAAAACGAACCAATCAGGAAATTGGAAAGTTTGTGGTAAAAGTGAAAGTGAAAGGCGACTTTCACACCACCAACCAATCATAGAGCGCGCAGCCCTTAGTGTGAATCTCGTTAGAAAGTATAAAACCTTTTCCACCCCGCACCTTTCATCAATTGCAGTTGTGTAGTGGTGCAGAATGTTTTCGTTAATAGCCTTCTCGTTACCCGCCCTCTGTGTGCTTCCAGTGGAAATGTTGGCTGAAATTTTTCGGTAAGTTTAACATTTTTTATTGTTTTCGTTTTTCTAACTGTATGTTTATGTTGTAGATATTTGGACGACAAGTCGTTGTTGAATGCAGCTTTGGCTAGCAAGTACTTTATGAAGATCTGCAAAGGAGATCCAGTTTTGCGGCGCAGAATTAGAAAGCGCATTGTAGAAGAGAAGAAAATATGGAGGGAGATAGTTACTAATGCAAGAATGGGAGTCGACGTTATACGTGAAGAAACCTCTCAACCGTTTGCTAGAAATGTTAAAAAGGTCGTTGAAATACGCCCGTTGCATTTTAGAAGACCTGCTGAACAGGAAACTTTAAAGGCGGTGCCATTTGAGCTCGGAGTTGTCGGTTCCAGACGCAATGGTGGAGGAAAGCTAAGAGTCAAGAAAAATCACAAAGTTCGTGCTGAACCTTACAATGCTATTAGATGTTAATGCAATTTGCCTTTCATTTTGTAACCATAGTAGATATTACTGCACTATCGGAATTGTTTATAAATATGTTGACAAAAATGTAAAGTTTGCTATAAATAAATTATAAATATCACATTGTTTTTTAGTGGTTTTTAGTTCCTTTCCGTCCGATTATTACTAATGTTTCCAAAGATTTAATCTAATTGTTTATCGCACTCAAGTTCATTTTAGTGCGGTTTCTTGCTTGCGACGAACTTAATAGTAAGTAATGGCATGCACAATTAAGTAAGCATTATCGGAATAATAGTTACAGTTTAATAAATACTATATTACAATACAATACAAATTATACTATGTCCGCGAAACGACTCGAGCACCACCGAGGGTACGGACTTGCCTGTAGTCAAGATCTGCGGTAGCAGCAGTTTCGGAAGTCTCTCGCAAACTCAATCAGAGGAAACGGCAACTCCAGGAGTCCGACGAGTTCGGCAAATGGCGACAGTCACTTAAGAAAAACTAAAACAAGCATTCCCCCGTTTTATAATTAATGGGACAATAAGTAACAATGCATTACAATAATGATATTGAGCAACAGCCATAGATACGGCGTGGTAAACTTAAAGTAAAAGCAAAAATTGAACGGTGTAAATGCAAAATAAATTTACGGAAAATCGCAACTAATTACGATACTTACAACCGTAACTTGCAACGATGCAAAAGGCAGATAGCAAAAAGATTTCTTTTACATTTCGGTAAAACACATAAAGGTAAAAGATCCCCTCTAAATCAAGCTTTTTCCTTTTATAAAATCCGGCAGACAGCGTATTCGGTTCACTACATCCAAAAATTAGAACTTCTTATATAATTGTGCTGCCTGCTGATGTCCAAAAAACCTGTAATTGGTCTCAAAATTCAAAACAGTTAAGAGCGCTTAGTTTGGTACCCCACACCTGTGGAATGATGTTTTCTGCAACACATTTATTTAGCTACACTGTTAATTCCACTTATTTAATTGGCCGGATTGAAATTTCTACAATCGGTAGGCCAATTAGCACCTATTGTTAATTGGAATGTTGGGATCAACCGGCGAGGTCATCTCTCTCAAGCTGCATGGACATGGACTCAGTTTTAATTTTTTCTTTAATTCTCGTTTTAATTTACAAAAACCTGCTAACAATGACTTAACGTGGTAGAAATTCTAAAATATTAATTTTCTCTCTTTTCTAAACGACAAGAGCTTTCGGACGCAACAAAGATAATTAAAATATCTTGACGGGAACGGTGGCAAACAGCGGATTTATTGCGGCTTCGGTTTAGGGTAGAGGCGACTGCACCACAACCCAAGAAATTAAATAAATTACCTTTAACTTCGATCTTCAACTCCTAGACCCGAAACAAATACAACTTAAAGAGCTTCTAGATACCGGGTGTTCAGACGAGCTGGTCGCCCCCACAAATGTACTGTGTGGTCATAACCTCGGGTATGAAACCGTCAAGGGGGAGACAGGTGCTTCGTTACGTTACATATTATTTTGTTTCTTTGATGTTAGAAGTCGTTATCTAAGCACCTTAAGTGTAGAAAGTCAATCACACAGTGGCTTTGATTAATAAATAATAATCATTTGTCTTGAATTCAAACGAATTTTCACATTGTCTTGATGTACATAACATTCTGAATAAATAGGGTCTAAGATTGAACCTTGAGGAACCCAATGTACTAATTTCTTTGGTTGGATACCACCATTAACCAGATGATTCAAATGCACTGGTGTGCCACAGCTTAAGTAACTGCAAGGGGAGGTGTGATATTCACGCCCCATATTCCATAGCAGTACAATTTATCTAACAAGATTGTATGAAAAGAATCAAAGGCGTTGGCGGGTTACAGCTTCTTTGACTTTAGTAGGGTTAGTAGGCGTTAAGAAAAAGTTACTAGACACTGTGCGACGAACTTCGGTAGTTCGCGCAAAAATGTGGTTTGAAAAAATGAACGGTGCAATTTGTTGAAACAAAAAATTAAATGTTAATCGGCCGAAAAATTACACAAAATATTCAATTGCTCACAATCGTATTAGATTTTACTCTACAAATCAAATGCATAAGTACGGGTACGGAATCTCGAGCGCCACCAGGAGGTTGCTGATCCTTGCTCCTACTCAAGGACGGTCGGTTTCGGAAGCTAGGGGACGAAGAGAACGGAAAACTTCAGGCAACGGGTGGCCGGTCACATATAATCTAGCAATCGACCAAAATCCAAATTTGGATACTCAACGTTTTCAAAATGGTAACCGGTTGCCCAAAAAATGGTGGCATGCCCTTCTCCATATGCAATTCCTGCCGAATCTCAAAAACTAATAATCGTGTCTAAAAAATTTGGATAAGAGTAATCAGAACCCATAATTTTGAAAAACTTAAAACAGAATTCAAAGGAATCAAAAAATGTAGTGGGAACTGATTTCCTGAAGGGGAAGTAAGAACAATATGGGGAGAAAGGTTTCTACTGACGTCTAATGATATAAGAAGCACTCTGAGGGGATTTTCACAATTTGAAAAAAAGTTCCCTGAAAAAGTTTTCGACAGAAGGGGAGCGACCCTAAAAACATTTTAAACATCGTGATACATCTTCAAAGGTCACTATTTCTAAGAAAATATGAACATTTGCAAAGCTTCCTCAAAAGGAAAATTGCTAATGTTTCCGACATAGACTACGAAGATGATATCTGATAAAATTATACGCTTTGTAGACAAGAATTTTAAAGAAGATTCCTGAGTAGGAAGGAAATTAATAAGCAATACAGAAAAACTCCGAAGGAGATATCTAAGGATTCGAAGAATATTCCCAACATTTCTAAGGTATTGCAAAAGTTTTGGAAGATTCTCTTAATAAGAGGTGTATGAACTCCCTATTTTAGTATAAGCACAAATTGAATCCAGTTTATGGTCGATGTAATGTAAGAGAACGGGATATAGGTATAGTTAGTCTATTACACTTCCACTAGTGGATTTTCTTGTAGGAAAATCACGATCGCTAGGATTTACTTCAAAATAAAAGGCAAACCGTAATAGATTTGAAAAAATGTATATAAGATAGTATTCTTGATGCATTCATCAAGATATGTGAACTGCTCCTACGATTTTGAAGCAGGCAGGTGTAAAATATTACACTGTATCATGTTCGTGATTAATTTTCAACAATAAGCGCAACTCTTATCTACGAGCGGAGAAAAACATGAGATAAATTTTTACATCCTTTAATTCACTCTAGCAATTTTTCAACTCTATAGCCAAGAAAATTCCATGTTTATACCGTTCAAGCGCGTTTCGTGTTTAAAAGGTGGCGAATCCATAGAAAAGCGAGAAATCGCAGTATCAAATGTTTCGCATTTTAGGAGTGCGCTCAACATAGACATCTTTTAAAAGTCACTTTACTTTACTATGAAAAGAGAGGGGGGGGGGGGGTAACACGTCTGGTAGAGATATATCTGCTGCCGATGTCAAAGTTTATCTCGAAAATGTGGTATCAGGGCAAGGTACCTACAAAGAGAAAATGCAATGTTGCCAAGGATCTATCTAAGAGCTTGATTCTTCTTGCATTATATAGCGTACCATGGGGAACACTTGGCAAGTAACTTAAGTAAGATTGTCCGGCAGATTGTAAGCTGGAATTTGCACTTTCTAAAATGGACTGCTAGTTATTACCGAGCCACTATGTCAATTACCATTTTTTGTTTAATTATTGTAAATTTGAAGGGGCGCATTAACGCCCAATTTTTGTACGGGCCGATCCTGCTATGTTAATAAAGGATGGCGTATTTTATTTTCATTATATCTTTCTGTGTGAACCACCTTGTATGACCCACTCAAAATCACAAAATACTAAAATGTTACGCAGAATTTCAGACCCTTAAAAAAATAATTGAAACGTAACCCCGCTATTCGTAATTGAAAATGAAGCATTTTTAAAATCACACACGGCTTGCCAAAATTACACGAGACTCTAAATTTATTGCATTCGTAAACACACCTCACAACATTTAAAAGCAATTACAAATATATTAAATCTAAAATCGACCTCCATTTTCCCCAATACTATCTAAATTAAATCTAATCTAAACAAATTTAATGTTAATCAATTAGCACATACGACAATTAAAAAGCGCTTACCTTTCAAACACTTGCACGATCTTGGCGTTTGTGGTCTTCTTTTTGTTGAATTCAAACGGTATTTTGTTAATTGCTGATTCTGATGATGATCTTCAATGCACTTTATCCCAAAAAACGGCGTAAGTCGACCTTCAATTATAACGACGAATTTGTCTGACGCGAAACTATGAAAATTTGATAAAATCTTGAGCTCTTGAATTGTATCATAATTTGATTACAAACAAATTGATGATCTCATTATAAAATTACTTAGGTTTTCATACGAATTCTAAAGCAGTCAGTAATCATTTGATGATTTCCAAATAATACCTTTTGGGGTGCGTCGGCGAAGGCATTTTAAATTGATAAAGAACGTCCGCTTTACCTTCAAATCTCCCGGGAAATAAAATAATTACACGAAGGGGAAGTTCTTAATTTCGCTTGTACGTTTCCCAGACTCTCCTCACCCTCTCCTCAAACGTAATTCCTTTGAGAAGCTCGATCGTGAACTTACGTGGCGGTTTAAAACCATTTGCGTTCGAGGGGCGTTTATATGATTAAATTACGTAAATGCAACCTAAACTGATGCATCGATAGGTCAGTTCGGAGTCATTCGAAAAGGTACTAAAGATTAATTAGGGCGATTGTCATTTTTAATTAAGCGTTATCGACGCCGAGCGTGCGATTTCTCTCCCATTTTAGTAGTTTTCGTGGCTTATTATCTCGACGGTGCACAAGGGTTTAGCTGTCATATGTCGGTGTTTGCGCTATAACAAACTTAATTGGTATTCCAGCATTACGAAAACGTTGTAAGGGCGTAGTTTTCGAAAACTTATTGTCGATGCACGACGTAGCAATTTTCATATACAAACAGGGGTGAAGGTGTAGGTACAATGCGAAATAAGGGCGTTGCAGTGTGACTTTACACAACTGTCACCTATGTTTGCACAAGAAACGAAATTGCTTGGGCAGTAAGTGTACATTGCACAG